AGTAGCAATATGGAGGGGCTGAGAAATGCTTTCAACATTTTAGCCATAAACCTGGAGTGAAGGCTTAAATAGGAAGATAAAATTAAACATAGCCTGGCTTAAAGAAATAGTGTTAAGCGAGCGGAGTGGGTTCGTCTCGCTCAAGATAGGGTCCGGTTCGAGGTAATGAAACATCGGGGTATATAAAACGGCAGACATTTCTTGACCAACTGAGCGGTCATTAGCTGTTGAAGGAGAAGAACTCTGCTCCATGAAGTAGGTTAAATGTGACGCTTTAACGGCAATGCTTTTGCCCCTCGTGCTTCGTCATGTATCCTACTTCATTTTCGCGTTTCGGGCCCGATAATCGCGTAGGAAAATGGGTTTGGCTTCAAAACGACTTCAGTACTCAGATGATTCGTCCATTCACTAATTATATTTACCTTCCTTTAGCGTTCCAAGTTTTCACTTAAAGGGCAGAAGTCGTTACTTATGCAACTCGTAGAACCCACATAAGTTAATAACGCGTAGACATATTAATTATCGTAATTGATGTTGCATCTGTTTTCTCAGCAAGTTTGTTTGTCAACGTGCACATAGTTCATGTTTCGTAAGTCCGATTCCAGACGGTACCATGAAGTTCACTGATGAACCACATCGTTCGACCATTCACAATGAAACGATCAGATTAATGTTCGGGAATACTTTCCATCAAGAGCAGAATCTTTTGTCGTCCCCTCTCATATTTTAAAAAGTAAAGGCAAAATGTAATTCCAAAACTATAATTTCGCCTCTTATTTGTTTGTCATACTGAGGACAAAATGACTCAACGTGTTTGAAAAGAGTTATTCAGGTCGTACCTCAAAGAAAATACGCGTCCCGACGACAAAGATCAATTGGTTGATGCCGTTTAGGAAAATAATCGCTGTTCACTGATATTCGTACGAAACCAATAAATATACCCAGTGGACAAAACGTAGGCATTGATTGTTAAAGTAGGTGGTACAAATAGTTACCGTTGGGTTTTCAAGAATTGAAAGGTAAAACAGAGTGTTCTCCTCTTTTCAAGTCTTTTTGGCGAGAGGTTATTTTTGCAGGGTTAGCGGTGTTTTTTTGTTCATCACGGTTTCCCCTGAAAACTTTCTGTATTTTAACAAAGACTTTGTGGCCTATGAAAATGTAATAGTGGAACAAAAATACTCTCAGGTTGTCAAGCTCTAATTGCGTCATGCCCTATGATCTTGACGGCTTTAAAAATGGCGATATCTCGCTTTACGTGGGCAAAATGCACTGGTTGCTTTCTGGGTTCGCGACAAAGAACCTGTCGCCCTTTCATTCTGTTCTCGTCATGGCGGCGGGTATTAACGAACACAGCGCGAAGTCTGTACCGCCTCGTCCCTGCATTCAGCCTTGGCAAAGAAATTGCTTTCTCTGTTTACGTACGTACGTGTCTGTAAAAATATCTTCCAGCCCCGAACACGCTGCAACCGTTAATGACTGTGACCGTAACTACATAAAGTGTCCTGGAAATGTAGGCCTGCATCAGAAATGGAAAGGATAAAACTGGCTTGCAGACGTGATTTGCAGATGGCCACAAAACATATAAATTAATTAATTAAAATAATATACTGTTTTTGTTTGGGAAATTGGAGTAACCACGAAGGTAGCCTAATTATTTCGGCCTTGACGTTCCATCCTTTCAGAATAAGCCATG